TGCTCTCTCTCTCTCTCTCTCTCTCTCTCTCTCTCTCTCTCTCTCTCTCTCTCTCTCTCTCTCTCTCTCTCTCTTTCTCTCTCTGTCTCTCTCCCCTTGTCTTTATTTCCTGCATCCATACCACACGGCAGCAGACTGACATCCTCTGTGTGAATTCCGCACTTGGAGATCACCTGCCTAATAATAATTCCTTTGGGGATATGGTGACCCTCTTCAGCATCCCTGAGCCTGGTAGCCTACAGTTCTCTGAAAAGGAGTTTTGTAACTGATTGATTGTCAATTCAAGTCCCATACGATCATGACAGACGTACATTAATGGCTCTATTTTTTTATTTTTATTTTGGGGAAAAATTAATGGCTCCTATTTGATCTCTGCCTTGTATAGGTCGCCAGTGTCAGTGGACGTCCAAGCTGCACGTAGAAGCTTGGACAGACTGAGTAGCAAGCAAGCCTTCCAGGGTGTGTGTCATTGCCATGGTTAAGGGGTTTGACCAAGCTGCACGATGAAAAGGGGTTGGTTTGTGGTACTTTGTACGTTCTCCTCATGGGGGCATAGAAGTGCCACGATGGCCCAAATAACTTGGCGCAACTTGTGGTGCTGAGTGTGTTTGCCGAGCATTTTGCATCCATGGATGAATAGAGGCCCCACTCGAGAACAGATGGGTGGGTATGCCCGCCCCTCACTTCCTCCCGCTTCGAATGTGAAAATGGCCTTGTGGTTCTCTGCACGTATATCACGGGCAGTGTTGTGGATGCTGCGGCCAAGTGGCGGCATGTGATGGGCAACCTTGCGACCTGCGCCGCTGCTGCACCCTTGCCGCCCCAATCCAAATCAGAGGGGTTCGGGTTGAGGATTTTGGGGGGCAGGGGCTCAAAGCTCCGGCGCAAAAGCAAGGCTTCCCCATACTGCCTGTGCCGGGTGCCACTCACTGTCTGACGCATTCTGGTTGTATCCCTGCTGCCTGTGCCGGGTGCCGTTCATGCTCCATAGGTCCCCTGGCCCCTGTACCATGGGGGCTGCTGCCGATCTTTTGTTGTTAAATCTGTGGCCGGGCCAATCGGTCCTTTTAGTTGAAGCTTTTGTCTGTGTACTCGGGACCCGGTGTCGTTTGCAGCAACAGTGCAACAATGACCTTCCTGATGAAGGGGTTAGGGAGGCAATGGGGAACGACCTAGACAGACATCCTGAGACAGGGATTAGCGAGGCAACGGAGAGCCTTCCTGAGACAGTTGGCAGCCGTTGGCAGCCGTTGAACCTTGCTGCTCTGTACCTTGGTGCCCCTGTGTTTACTAATCAAGGACGAGTAGGAGGTTTGATGGAGTATGACCTTGAGATCGCCCGCGCTTCGCTGTGGTCGATGACCACTGATGTCGAAAGATGTTCCTGCAATCGCCCTCGAGCAAGAAGCTTAGAGGGATTCGTTGGAGCTTATTCGGCTTGCCAATGATGAACAAGGTGAGGATGATGGGGGCTGGCATATGATGATGAACACGGTCACGTACTAGAGCAGAGCAACCGGGCAGTTGCCGGGTCTGTTAGCAGCAATCAATAAGGGAGACACACATTCATCGATAGGGATGATAACGTCTGCCATTTCTGCCACGCCGCCATGAAGCCAGGCCTATACTAAATGTACCACTAAAGGTGCTAGACATTCGAATACCGCTCCCCGTCGTGTAGGTCCTTGTTATTTATGAGATTGCTAATGATGAACAAGTTGAGGATGATTGGGTGGCATATGATAATGAACCCGGACCTATATTTAAAGAGGGCCAGATAGACGCACTTAATAATAATATACTAGAGGCACTAGACATTCGGATATCGCTCCTGGTCGTGTATGTCG